GAGGCCTCACCAAAGTCGACAGATCCCGTAAAAGAACAAAACTTGCGCGACGCCTCCCCTTACCCCTAATCCCACTCCACCCAACGAGGAGATAGCGCAAGAGAGGAGAGGGTTTCTGCGGCGGCGATGGCGGCGGCGGCGAACCTGGAGGACGTCCCGTCCATGGATCTGATGAACGAGCTGCTACGCCGCATGAAGTGCAGCTCCAAGCCCGACAAGCGCCTCATCCTCGTAGGTCCGTACGCTTCCTCCGGCCTCCCCTCATCTAGCTTCCCTCCCTTCTCTTTCTTTCTCCTTCCACGCTCCAAGATCTGGTGAGGAAGTAGGAGATCCAACTCGTCCCCGTCCCTTCCTTGCTCTAGGCTCCGGGTGTGCAAGGCTTGGTGGTTCAGATCTTAGTCGCTTCGCCTTTTTCTGCCCCTTTTGTTTAATGCTCCATCGAAAGTCTAGTTTCCGATGTTTTCCCTTTCCTTTGCAACTGTAGTGACATGGAGAAGCCGTTGATTGTGATTCGGGTAAACCAGGTCGAAGTGCGTGTGGACTTGGTACCAAGAGTAGAACTGTTTCGCTCTTCCAGATTTCTTGCCGTTGTTTTGATGGATTATTTCGGCAATGAGTGCTTGTTTGATGGACTGATCTTCTAAAACAATCTTTTCTTTTATTAGGTAAATTGCACTAAATTCTTTTAGAATGTGTTTTCTTGCTCTACTTTTCTATGCGTATGAGGCTGAGGAAAATAACGACCTTATTATCCTGAAGAAATTCTTTATGTCATTGTGGTAGCATGGAATTTGTAGCAATTGGCTTGTTCCATGGAACTGATAAAAAATATTTTTGTATGCATTGAAGTCACAAGGGAGAAAAGTAGTATTTCTCAGTGTTGTGGAAGTCAGAATACAGTTGTCGGACGGAAAGGGTACCGTTCACCGATTAATTGGAATACGGACGATTAATCGAAATTATACGGAAATTTAACATTCGTGAATATATGTACAAATTTTACAATATTATATACTTTTTGAAGATTTAGATGTGTACAACTATATAAATCAAATATCTTCATGTTGTTTTTTAATTGAACAGATAAGTAAACATTAACTCTTCTAACACCGGATTTATATATCACATGGTGGTAGAATTGGTTGCATTAAATAAGTAATAAAACATAAAAATATATGTAACAAAATAAAAACAATTCTAAATTAAGTAAAGAAAACTTCTCTAAATCATCATCAAATTCAACGTACAGCTAAAAACGGAGTTTTAAGGTTCGTGAACGATAAATGTACACCGTATCACGTTAACGGAATGGTTTTACTACCGTTAACGTATATACGGCCGATTAATCGGTTGGTACGGCCGTTTTTCCATAACACTGGTATTTCTTTAAAAAAACATGAAATGCGTAGCTCTTTGCTTAATGTATTTGTGATTCATGACATGAGGTGAAGAGAACTCTCCTGGACCTAACTATGGTTTTATGTATCCATACTACAATTTATGCTTACTAATGAAATTCAAATATTGTATATTGTTTGTCGCTTAGTGAGTAGTGAGTTAGTGACTTCAGTGTAGATGTAAATGACAACGAAAATCTTATCTTATAGCTTTTTTGACTTGTATTCCTTTAATTTATAGACTTTCTTTTCTCTTGTTTTGGCATGACTGGGGTTGAGAAGAGTGTTCACTACAATTACTTTCAACAAGAAAGCATGCTTAGACTTTCTTCTAGATACAGTGGTAAAAATGATACATTTTGATTGTATGTTGAATCCTTCACAAAAGAATGAAAGAGAGCATTTTATGGTGAAGATATTAGGTCCTTATGATTATCTTAATTGGAGCTTGCAAAGGCCTTTTGACTGTGATGCAAGTATATGAAAGATGTAAGAATATGCAAGCTAGCTCATATATCTTGATAAAAGAGATACTCTTTTAAGAATCAATGTAGCACAAATCATACCAAAGTCAATCATTTTTCAGTTAATGTTAATAATAATCTCATGAGAAGAATGTTTTTATTGCCTTTCTAAGGGGAGTTATTCTTAGTATAAGAATTGAGCAAGAAGTGGATGATCGCCCCTCTCATTTTCATTGTTAATCTGTGTACTATGTGAAGAATTTGTTTTTTCCTAACAAACATTTAATTTCATTTAGTAAAGCATTATAGCAAATTAGCAATTGATTGCTTGTGGTAGCAACAACTGACTTTCCTTGTTGCACTTGAGTGTTGAATTTAAAACTTTAACAATCAATTTTTAGTTCTTCATTTGATCAATTTTGTTAATAACCAAACCCAAATATTAGGCTTTAAATTATTTGCACGAGGGGGTCCATTTGTTTACATCTGACTAGAAAAAATACCCGTGCGTTGCAACGGGTGAAGTCTATTTTAATCTTATTATTGTTATATGGTTTACTTAAGATGAAATTCACTGTGAGAGTTCGCTTGGATATATATATTTTTAGAAAATCATAAGCTGCAGTTAGGAGTCTGATTGTCTCAAGTTAGCATGCGAGTTTTTTTAAACAGATTTCTTATATGATTCCTTTTGTATTACCAAGAGTGAACGATCTTAAAAACCGACTCAAATACGGATATGTATTTCCAAAAGCAAACGAACTTAAAAACCGACTCATACACGGATGACGTATCAAAATACCAGCAAAAACATCTTCAATTTTTATAATAGTAGAGATAAGATGGTTGAAACCTAGACGAATAACATTATCAAATTCACCCTAGTCTATATTTTATTTCAGAAAACCTCTTTACAATTCTTGGTTTTGCTGACTATGCAGGTCCACCTGGCTCTGGAAAGGGAACACAATCGCCCATTATTAAGGATGAGTACTGCTTATGCCATTTAGCTACAGGTGATATGTTGAGAGCTGCTGTTGCTGCTAAGACTCCTTTAGGAGTCAAGGCGAAAGAAGCAATGGACAAGGTATTGCACTTGGAAATCACCCACATAAGCAGCAGATAAAAGTTAGATGGCCAAATGAATAGCCAGCCAGCTCTGAACTCCTGATTTCTCAAAGCAAAACATGTTCCATAAGTATTTTTCACTAACTTCATGTTTGTTAGGGAGAGCTTGTTTCTGATGACTTGGTTGTTGGAATTATTGATGAAGCCATGAAGAAACCTTCATGTCAAAAGGGTTTCATTCTTGATGGGTTCCCACGGACAGTTGTTCAGGCACAGAAGGTATTCGATTTGTACTTTTATTAATAGTTCAGCCAATAAAAATATTTTTCTTTAGGCAATGTAGCTATGTTTTGAACTACACTGTTTACTTTCGGGTTCATAATATTTTTCTTCTTCAGCTTGATGAAATGCTGGAAAAGAAAGGTACAAAGGTCGATAAGGTTCTTAACTTTGCCATTGATGATTCAATTTTGGAAGAAAGAATTACTGGCCGGTGGATCCATCCCTCCAGTGGCAGGAGTTATCACACTAAGTTTGCACCTCCAAAGGTTCCTGGAGTTGATGATGTAAGTTGAATACAGAAATATGGACTTAATAATTATTATACTTTCCAAATTTATTTTATTTTGCGTGGATTTTTGGTTCAGCAATTTAATTGTTGGATATTTTTTCCTATATATCTTGTACAATTCTTTAGACGGTCTTCATAAAATTATGTCACGGTGTTTAACCTATGTGATATTTATGTCATGGTGTCTTATCTACATAACTATATTATATAATTCTATACATCAACAACTTTGTAAAGTATTCAATATTGCATTATCACATATTAGTTTGCCAAACATCTGTTATAACTGCATTGATAATGATACAAGTTGCATAAGGATTTCTGTTAGTTCATTATTTCCTTTATCAAGTTTTTTTTTGTTTCTTAATCCATTTAGTGACATATTTTGTGTGGACCTTGTATCCCTTTTGAGTCTGCATAGTTGTAGATATTTTGCTTCCTTGCAACAAATATTTTTCCAGTTAATAAAGGAACTAATAGTATATAAATAATTTATTCATCCAGTTTACTATTTTCTTTGTATTGCATCAACGTTTCTTCTGCGGTACTGTTTCTTTCACTGCCCTTTTTCTATTTAAGAAAACTGCTATAAAATGTTGACTGATGCTTTCATTTGTCTTATTCGCCTAGGTCACTGGAGAACCACTAATTCAAAGGAAAGACGACACAGCTGAGGTTTTGAAGTCTAGACTTGAAGCCTTCCACAAACAAACTGAACCAGTATGGTGCTCTTTCTAGTGAATTATAATGTTTTAAAGTATTTAGGAAAAGTTGGTTGTTTTTTTAGGCATTATGACACGTGTAGCTATTTACAGTTCTTGAGAGTGTCTGCCTAGTTATATCGTTCTGACCGTACGGTTCCCATTTGACATCTTCTGGATTCTTTTCTCATGTGTTCTATGATTGCATATCCTTTGATAGCCAAGACTTCGGGAGGGTTTCATCTTGTTCTCTAAAATATTGCTGCTTGTGAAGATTCAGTATTTTTTACTTCAATGTTGATTTGCTCCCACCAGGTGATTGACTACTACTCCAAGAAGGCCTTGGTGGCCAATCTTCATGCCGAGAAGCCACCGAAAGAAGTAACTGCTGAAGTCCAGAAAGTTCTTTCGTAAATGTACCACCATTTTGAGACGAAAATTCGACAGATTACCCAGACACACTGGGTCCGGCTTTTAGATGTTCAAATTGACGCTGACATGCAAGGTGTAGACTGCTCTCTTTTTGTATTGGGTACTCTTATCAGATTTGATGAGCACAGTGCTTTGCGTTGTTTTAGTTCTAATAATCTCTATGGCATTGATGGAAGGAACATTTTTTTGTACCAATATCACAGGGTTCTTTCACCCTTGAGAGTTCCCAAAAAAGCTTAGCTGGGGAGAATCGGATGTAACATTTTCTGTAGATGTCCGTGGATATATCATTTGCCTGATTCCGAGTCCGTATGAGAAAGTTACGCCTATTTTAAGAAATGACACCCGAATGACGCCAAAGCATGTCGGATGCGATCATACCAGCACTAAAGCACCGGATCCCATCAGAACTCNGAAGTTAAGCGTGCTTGGGCGAGAGTAGTACTAGGATGGGTGACCTCCTGGGAAGTCCTCGTGTGTGTTGCATCCCTCCTTTTTGTCTCTCTCTCCCCCCTTTTGACTCGCGCCGCTGCGTCCATCGTGTTGTGTCGCCCCTTGGGCGGCGAAGCTGGGGAGAATCGGATGTAACATTTTCTGTAGATGTCCGTGGATATATCATTTGCCTGATTCCGAGTCCGTATGAGAAAGTTACGCCTATTTTAAGAAATGACACCCGAATGACGCCAAAGCATGTCGGATGCGATCATACCAGCACTAAAGCACCGGATCCCATCAGAACTCCGAAGTTAAGCGTGCTTGGGCGAGAGTAGTACTAGGATGGGTGACCTCCTGGGAAGTCCTCGTGTTGCATCCCTCCTTTTTGTCTCTCTCTCCCCCCTTTTGACTCGCGCCGCTGCGTCCATCGTGTTGTGTCGCCCCTTGGGCGGCGAAGCTGGGGAGAATCGGATGTAACATTTTCTGTAGATGTCCGTGGATATATCATTTGCCTGATTCCGAGTCCGTATGAGAAAGTTACGCCTATTTTAAGAAATGACACCCGAATGACGCCAAAGCATGTCGGATGCGATCATACCAGCACTAAAGCACCGGATCCCATCAGAACTNCGAAGTTAAGCGTGCTTGGGCGAGAGTAGTACTAGGATGGGTGACCTCCTGGGAAGTCCTCGTGTTGCATCCCTCCTTTTTGTCTCTCTCTCCCCCCTTTTGACTCGCGCCGCTGCGTCCATCGTGTTGTGTCGCCCCTTGGGCGGCGAAGCTGGGGAGAATCGGATGTAACATTTTCTGTAGATGTCCGTGGATATATCATTTGCCTGATTCCGAGTCCGTATGAGAAAGTTACGCCTATTTTAAGAAATGACACCCGAATGACGCCAAAGCATGTCGGATGCGATCATACCAGCACTAAAGCACCGGATCCCATCAGAACTCCGAAGTTAAGCGTGCTTGGGCGAGAGTAGTACTAGGATGGGTGACCTCCTGGGAAGTCCTCGTGTTGCATCCCTCCTTTTTGTCTCTCTCTCCCCCCTTTTGACTCGCGCCGCTGCGTCCATCGTGTTGTGTCGCCCCTTGGGCGGCGAAGCTGGGGAGAATCGGATGTAACATTTTCTGTAGATGTCCGTGGATATATCATTTGCCTGATTCCGAGTCCGTATGAGAAAGTTACGCCTATTTTAAGAAATGACACCCGAATGACGCCAAAGCATGTCGGATGCGATCATACCAGCACTAAAGCACCGGATCCCATCAGAACTCCGAAGTTAAGCGTGCTTGGGCGAGAGTAGTACTAGGATGGGTGACCTCCTGGGAAGTCCTCGTGTTGCATCCCTCCTTTTTGTCTCTCTCTCCCCCCTTTTGACTCGCGCCGCTGCGTCCATCGTGTTGTGTCGCCCCTTGGGCGGCGAAGCTGGGGAGAATCGGATGTAACATTTTCTGTAGATGTCCGTGGATATATCATTTGCCTGATTCCGAGTCCGTATGAGAAAGTTACGCCTATTTTAAGAAATGACANCCGAATGACGCCAAAGCATGTCGGATGCGATCATACCAGCACTAAAGCACCGGATCCCATCAGAACTCCGAAGTTAAGCGTGCTTGGGCGAGAGTAGTACTAGGATGGGTGACCTCCTGGGAAGTCCTCGTGTTGCATCCCTCCTTTTTGTCTCTCTCTCCCCCCTTTTGACTCGCGCCGCTGCGTCCATCGTGTTGTGTCGCCCCTTGGGCGGCGAAGCTGGGGAGAATCGGATGTAACATTTTCTGTAGATGTCCGTGGATATATCATTTGCCTGATTNCGAGTCCGTATGAGAAAGTTACGCCTATTTTAAGAAATGACACCCGAATGACGCCAAAGCATGTCGGATGCGATCATACCAGCACTAAAGCACCGGATCCCATCAGAACTCCGAAGTTAAGCGTGCTTGGGCGAGAGTAGTACTAGGATGGGTGACCTCCTGGGAAGTCCTCGTGTTGCATCCCTCCTTTTTGTCTCTCTCTCCCCCCTTTTGACTCGCGCCGCTGCGTCCATCGTGTTGTGTCGCCCCTTGGGCGGCGAAGCTGGGGAGAATCGGATGTAACATTTTCTGTAGATGTCCGTGGATATATCATTTGCCTGATTCCGAGTCCGTATGAGAAAGTTACGCCTATTTTAAGAAATGACACCCGAATGACGCCAAAGCATGTCGGATGCGATCATACCAGCACTAAAGCACCGGATCCCATCAGAACTCCGAAGTTAAGCGTGCTTGGGCGAGAGTAGTACTAGGATGGGTGACCTCCTGGGAAGTCCTCGTGTTGCATCCCTCCTTTTTGTCTCTCTCTCCCCCCTTTTGACTCGCGCCGCTGCGTCCATCGTGTTGTGTCGCCCCTTGGGCGGCGAAGCTGGGGAGAATCGGATGTAACATTTTCTGTAGATGTCCGTGGATATATCATTTGCCTGATTCCGAGTCCGTATGAGAAAGTTACGCCTATTTTAAGAAATGACACCCGAATGACGCCAAAGCATGTCGGATGCGATCATACCAGCACTAAAGCACCGGATCCCATCAGAACTCCGAAGTTAAGCGTGCTTGGGCGAGAGTAGTACTAGGATGGGTGACCTCCTGGGAAGTCCTCGTGTTGCATCCCTCCTTTTTGTCTCTCTCTCCCCCCTTTTGACTCGCGCCGCTGCGTCCATCGTGTTGTGTCGCCCCTTGGGCGGCGAAGCTGGGGAGAATCGGATGTAACATTTTCTGTAGATGTCCGTGGATATATCATTTGCCTGATTCCGAGTCCGTATGAGAAAGTTACGCCTATTTTAAGAAATGACACCCGAATGACGCCAAAGCATGTCGGATGCGATCATACCAGCACTAAAGCACCGGATCCCATCAGAACTCCGAAGTTAAGCGTGCTTGGGCGAGAGTAGTACTAGGATGGGTGACCTCCTGGGAAGTCCTCGTGTTGCATCCCTCCTTTTTGTCTCTCTCTCCCCCCTTTTGACTCGCGCCGCTGCGTCCATCGTGTTGTGTCGCCCCTTGGGCGGCGAAGCTGGGGAGAATCGGATGTAACATTTTCTGTAGATGTCCGTGGATATATCATTTGCCTGATTCCGAGTCCGTATGAGAAAGTTACGCCTATTTTAAGAAATGACACCCGAATGACGCCAAAGCATGTCGGATGCGATCATACCAGCACTAAAGCACCGGATCCCATCAGAACTCCGAAGTTAAGCGTGCTTGGGCGAGAGTAGTACTAGGATGGGTGACCTCCTGGGAAGTCCTCGTGTTGCATCCCTCCTTTTTGTCTCTCTCTCCCCCCTTTTGACTCGCGCCGCTGCGTCCATCGTGTTGTGTCGCCCCTTGGGCGGCGAAGCTGGGGAGAATCGGATGTAACATTTTCTGTAGATGTCCGTGGATATATCATTTGCCTGATTCCGAGTCCGTATGAGAAAGTTACGCCTATTTTAAGAAATGACACCCGAATGACGCCAAAGCATGTNGGATGCGATCATACCAGCACTAAAGCACCGGATCCCATCAGAACTCCGAAGTTAAGCGTGCTTGGGCGAGAGTAGTACTAGGATGGGTGACCTCCTGGGAAGTCCTCGTGTTGCATCCCTCCTTTTTCTCTCTCTCTCCCCCCTTTTGACTCGCGCCGCTGCGTCCATCGTGTTGTGTCGCCCCTTGGGCGGCGAAGCTGGGGAGAATCGGATGTAACATTTTCTGTAGATGTCCGTGGATATATCATTTGCCTGATTCCGAGTCCGTATGAGAAAGTTACGCCTATTTTAAGAAATGACACCCGAATGACGCCAAAGCATTTCGGATGCGATCATACCAGCACTAAAGTACCGGATCCCATCAGAACTCCGAAGTTAAGCGTGCTTGGGCGAGAGTAGTACTAGGATGGGTGACCTCCTGGGAAGTCCTCGTGTTGCATCCCTCCTTTTTGTCTCTCTCTCCCCCCTTTTGACTCGCGCCGCTGCGTCCATCGTGTTGTGTCGCCCCTTGGGCGGCGAAGCTGGGGAGAATCGGATGTAACATTTTCTGTAGATGTCCGTGGATATATCATTTGCCTGATTCCGAGTCCGTATGAGAAAGTTACGCCTATTTTAAGAAATGACACCCGAATGACGCCAAAGCATGTCGGATGCGATCATACCAGCACTAAAGCACCGGATCCCATCAGAACTCCGAATTTAAGCGTACTTGGGCGAGAGTAGTACTAGGATGGGTGACCTCCTAGGAAGTCCTCGTGTTGCATCCCCCTTTTTGTCTCTCTCTCCCCCCTTTTGACTCGCGCCGCTGCGTCCCTCGTGTTGTGTCGCCCCTTGGGCGAGAGCTGGGGAGAATCGGATGTACCATTTTCTGTAGATGTCCGTGGATATATCATTTGCCTGATTCCGAGTTCGTATGAGAAAGTTACGCCTATTTTAAGAAATGACACCCGAATAACGCCAAACCATGTCGGATGCGATCATACCAGCACTAAAGCACCGGATCCCATCAGAACTTTGGAGTTAAGCGTGCTTGGGTGAGAGTAGTACTAGGATGGGTTACCTCCTAGGAAGTCCTCGTGTTGCATCCCTCCTTTTTGTCTCTCTCTCCCCCCTTTTGACTAGCGCCGCTGCGTCCCTCGTGTTGTGTCGCCCCTTGGGCGAGAGCTAGGGAGAATCGGATGTAACATTTTCTGTAGATGTCCGTGGATATATCATTTGCCTGATTCCGAGTCCGTATGAGAAAGTTACGCCTATTTTAAGAAATGACACCCGAGTGACGCCAAAGCATGTCGGATGCGATCATACCAGCACTAAAGCACCGGATCCTATCAGAATTCTGAAGTTAACCGTGCTTGCGCGAGAGTAGTACTAGGATGGGTGACCTCTTGTTAAGTCCTCGTGTTGCATCCCTCCTTTTTGTCTCTCTCTCCCCCCTTTTGACTCGCGCCGCTGCGTCCCTCGTGTTGTGTCGCCCCTTGGGCGAGAGCTGGGGAGAATCGAATTTAACATTTTCTGTAGATGTCCGTGGATATATCATTTGCCTGATTCCGAGTCC